GCATTACGGGGCGGAATATGGAGTGTGGGAGGGTACGACAAAATGCAGCAACAAAGCAAAAAAGAAAAAGAAACGCACACACAATAGTGAGAAAGATGGGAGGAAACAACAACCAGAGATAATGGAGACTACACCAACAAAGTGCCTGTAGTCACACACACGTATTATACGAAAGGATAAATGCGCCTAGAAATATATCCACATACACGCACGCACATACACACACACACACACACGCACACACACACAGAGACGCACACACACACAATGGAAGGTGCATATTTAAAGTGAGAGAGGAGGAGAATACATGCACGTGTCAAATAACAGCAAGCAGCTAATGCGACCAACACGAACCACCTTTTCGCGTACTTTATTGTCTTTCCATTTTTTCCGCCGCTGCTGTTCTGAGCATATGTTAGTTTCCAACATTCCTGTCATAAATTGATTGCGTCGCAGTCACACCTAAACGCCCATTGGCGGATCTGTGGAAGCAGACCCCACCACCACACAGGAGTAGAGTAGACATATACATTTAAGCATAAAACGCATAAAAAGAAAAACAGATATATTTATGTATGTCCAATTCTCAGGTTTATGTCAACCCCACTCTCACTCTCCCTCTCGCATCCTCCTCTTCCACTGCGCCCTCCACCCCCTCGTTGACGTTGCTTGCAACTGGACAACACCCCTGTGTTTTTGTTTCTGATTTTCATCATTATTTTACCGCCATTCACGCTGGAGGCGGCTTTGGCTCCACACACACATAAAATACATGCGGGCAGGAATACGCACGTATTGATGTAGATGCAGAAGTATCACCTCTCGCTCGATCCCCTACTTCCCTGCATACCAGTGTCACGTTGTCTTTTGGACAAGTCACGAACCTGCGGTTGTGCTCTTTGACTTGTTTCTGGCTTGCAGGGACGACAGACCGGCCTTTTTGTGAGGCGCCGTGTTGGGAAGACCCGCAAAAAAACAAAAAACAAAAAACAAAAAAAAACAACAACATATCTTTCCCTCCATAACCGCACGTATCGGCGGTGTGTAGCGCCACAACAGTGCTGGTAACGACGTGCAGTGATAATGCCCTACATGTACGAAAATGCAGGGCGCTAACGCTGTACCGTGCCGACAAGCACAAGTTGTATATATATATGTATACAGATGTATACACCGGCGTTACTACCGCTCACACAACGAGCAATCCAACGAAAAAAAAAAAAAAAACAACGCCCCATTTCCGTATCTTACATCTCTTTCTCACACTCTTCACTCCTTCCGGCCACATCCGTGCGGATCGCCTCCGCCAGCAGCCCCTCACCCCCCCGTGTCCCCAAAACTCAGCGGAGACATCGTACGCGCGTTTTGTGCGCCATTCGGTACGGCGAGCGCCACGCCGCCTGCATAGCGGGTCCGCCATTTGTCCACGGCCAAAACAGTGCAATGTACGTGTTCACCGCCACCCCGTACACGATGAAAAGACCACTGGTCAAGAGCATCAGCATCCAAAACTTGTTGGTTCGCATCAGCTCAAAGGCGATCCCCACACACCAGTTCGACCCAAGTACATTAGGCAGCACGGAGTACGCAATCGTCAGCAGCGGGATCGCTACGAAGCCTAAGGCGATGACGGCGGCTGAAAGGACGGTGTAGTACGTCATGAGAGCTGCGACACGGAGGTTCAGCAGAAACAGCAACATCACAAAAAACAGCATTCCGTAGTCCTCAATGGAGGCAGTGCGGTGCGGGTACAACTCGTCCCATTTCCCCACGGTGTAAAAAACAGCGAAGAATAGCATGAGCCCATCCACGACCCCGTCGAACAGCCACTTAAGGATGTACGGCCAGCTGAAAAACATCTGCTCACGTGCCAGTGCCGGGTAGAGAGACGGAAGGGACTCGGCCAGCTCGTCGTCGACGTCCTTGTCAAAGATACCAAGTATCAGTGGCTGCAGAGAGCAAAAAAAAAGATTAAACATCGCAAGCAGCCAGGAGTCAACCAAAACCATGCCGGAGAAACCGCAAAAAAAGGCGTATGTCGCGAGTCCAGTGCACAGCACTACACTCTTGTAGAGGCTAAAAATAACACAGTGGGCGTCGCGGTACATGGCGAAGCGACCATGCACCATCAGAAGCCGTTTTAAGAAACGGAACTTGGGGATGGCGTAGTCGCTGGACAACTCCGCCTGGGAGCCCTCCAGCCCCATAATGCCAACGCCAATGCGACTCTCCTGAATCATGGATACATCATTTGCGCCGTCGCCTATGGCCAGGGCAACAGAACGTGTGTTTTTTTGAAACAGTTTTACAACCCGCGCCTTTTGCAGCGGCGTCATGCGACAACACACCGCACTGCGGCAACGAATGCCAAGCTTAAAAAACCTCTGGGTGCAGGCCTCATCTGTGAAGATGATGTCCAGCGTCCGTCCATCCACCACTAACACCACCGTGTGAGTATTGTGATGTATCTCGTCAGAGGCGTCACACTTTTGTACGGCCGCCTCCATCTGCTCCTGCAGAGATCTCCACACCGCGGCATCAGCGGCAGCCTCGGCAACGCCGACAAACCCTGCAGAGACATCCGCAAGATCCAAATGTACCAAACAATCCCCAAACCCGGGGTCAATGAGGCCACTTGTTCCTGCAATCGTCACCGCCGTCTCCCGCTTGTCCCCTGTGAGCATCCACACAACAATTTCTGCCTCCAAGAAAAACTTTAGCGTTTCCGGAACCCCTTCTTGAAGCCGATCCTCCACCGCCGTGGTGCCCACGAGATCCACATCCTTTTCTAGCATCGCATAGACGGCATGCAGCTTATCACTGCGATCGTGCATAGAGCACTGAGCCTCGTTGAAGCACGGTAGCCATCCTCGCACTTCGCTCTCCGAAAGATAACGTTGCCCCATGACAAGTGTACGAAGCCCCTTCTGTGCCATCGTTTCCAGTTTCTGCTGAAAAACAGGCTTCAGCTCAACATTTCGCGGATTATTTTTATTTAAAATGGGCATCATGCTGCTATCCGCCCCCTTGACAAGCAGCAAGTAGGGGCGTTCCTCATTAATGAAACGTAAGGCCCCAAGACCGCCTTGCACGCCAGCCACAGCAACATCCACCTTGCTGATTGTGTCATCCCTCTCGTTCTTGCCAAGGGGGGATTCTGGTGCGAGAGGAAGGATGTCAACAATTTGGACGGACCGCCCCCCTCCTTCTCGCAATGTAAGAAATGATGTATTGATGGTGGATTGACGGTGGTAACTTTTATGCGTGTTACTCTGCTCAAACACCTCAGTGTCACATTCAGGACGACGGTACAATAAAATGCTCATTAACTTCCGTTGCGGCGTAAACTCCAGTTCAGCAACGATCTCGTAGCACATCATCCTATTCACAGCCTTTATAAAGATATGCTTCGCGGTTCGCTTCTGCAGCGAGAAGAGATTATCGCGTGCTGCTGTCACCAACGCAATCTCATCCAACGACTGAGCCTCATATATCTTTGACTCGTCCTTAAGTCCACTCACAAGTCTTGACATGGTGGCGGGGCGCTGGTGCATCTGTATATCATTGAAGCGTGTCGCGTACCAACCTGAACTTCCTGCACGCCCCTGCAGCAGCCGACCGATCCCGTCGGTGCTGCTATGGAAAACAGAATGATTTTGCTGAGGGTTGGATGCAGCTGAAGAAAGTCCAGCCGGCATGGATTGGTTTGTAACCGGGACTTCTCTTGCCTCACTACTCATCCTTGGAAAATGTGGCGAGCCAGCCTCACACACTTGCGACCTCTGCGAAACACAACTCGAGGAGAGCAAGGCACCCTGCTCCACGGAGGAGCGGTCAAAGCTCACGACGGAATGACACAGCGCAAGCGCCCGCAGATACTGAAAGAGCGGCTCTGACTCCATCGCACTCTCATCGAAATCAAAGCGCATAGCAAAATCGCAGTGGGGAACAGGCGCCACGGCGGCTATCTCTCCCCCACATTTCTGTAGGCGCGATTCCAAGAGATGCAGAAAGTCTTCACCAAGGCCACCAGGCCGCTTCTGTTCATTGTAGTCCTGCGTTGCCGTGCATCCGCCCACGTACTTCATGATGTTTTCCGTCAGCGTCCCGGTTTTATCGGTAAAGATGTACCGTACTTGCGCCAACTGGCAATTTAGCTCCGAGGTTTTGGGCCGCGAGTAGCGCAGTTCACCAAGGAATTCATCATAGTTGGCCATTCTCCGATCGTGGGTGATGAGGACCATCTGCATTGCCTTGTTGAACTCCAGCGTGACGTACATGGAGAGTGGAATTAGATGGGAGAGGAGGATAAAGTTGGTGAAGTACCGCCACCCAAACATTTCTCTCGGGGAATAGCGTGAAAGGCTCCATTGAATATACCACGTCGAGTACCCGCTGCGTGTGCCCGGTGGGGCTGCCAGGTGCGAGTTCCGCCACAGCACCGCGAGTCCGCAAAGGAAGAACAGAAACGACTGATGCAGCAGGAGGAGGAAGCAGTTAAGGATGTTGATACGCCTGGCAACCACAGACATCTTCTTGGGCTTAGACCGCAAATTAAGCAGCATCTTCGTATCCCTCCCCGTGTAGACCACCACGCAGAGGACCCACTCCGTGTTACGTATCACACATCCGCGAGGTAGAAATTGGTCAATGCCCAATGGAACCATCTCACCATCTGGCATCCACAGCTGCCCAATCCAGGAGTGAAGTTCGCTGCACGGGGGGGCGCCAAGAAGCAGGACACCTCTATTGTTGTAAATGGTGCTTCCCTCACCGCTCCGCTCAACGCTGTTGGAAACTGTTTCCCCAGTTGGTACTTGCAGCATCCCACCATTCGGGAATAACAACTGGGAGGAGCTCCGCCGGTGCAGCTGCTGCTGGTGGTGGTGGTGATGGTGGTGGTGGTGGTGGTCCATCGCGTGTTTCTCCTTGTACCGCTGCGACAACTCCAAAATGTGGGACGGCACCGGAACCTCGCGCCCCACTACAAACTTCTCATCGAAACTGAGCTGCCGCCGGTGAGGCGTCTGAACCTCCGTCGCTGGGTGTTCCCAGATGCCATATGTCTTGGAACGCGTGTGTGCGCCCGGCCTTAACGAAAGTAACGGGGTCCCATGGCTCGACACGGGCTGCACAGAGAAGGGACACCCCTTTTCACGAACCACCTTTCGCAGTCCAGGCTGCGGCACCCTCGCGGCGGGCTCCGCCCCCTCCGTCCTAAAAGCCTGGGGCGGTACCACCGATAACTCTACAGGTGTGGGGGCATCTACAACATCACCTGCAGCGACAGCCGCACTCCATGATGCCGTTGTGCCTTGCGCCAGAAAATGTGCCCGCATCGCAGGATCCGGGAGACAACGTTCAATGATGTCCTCTGCTACCCCAAGCGCCTCAATTGTCTGTGCCTTCGCCCGTCGCGACTTGGCGTTGGTCTCCCCGTCCAGGTTGGCTGTCTCAATGTACGCAATGCCCCCGGCAAGGGAGGAATTAAGTAGCACCACATCCGCCAATACCTCCTCTCCAAGGGCGCAAAGCATCACATCACCCACACGCACAGAGTGGGCAGGTACGCCAACAAAATTTTCTCCTCTTAACACATACGCCATCATGTTGTTTGCGCGCCTATCCGACTGACGTCGCCTCCCGTCTTCCCACAGGTCCTTGGCGATGGCTGCCCCAAGCACGATGGAGAACGGCACACTCAGGCTGAACGGATTTACCGGGCTTACGCCAGGAATAATACAAAAAAGCATGACTACCAGAAAGTATATATTTGACACTCTTTGGAACTGGCACAACAGACTATGCGGAAAGCACGTCAAGCTGGTATACTTGGCAGTGCGGATAGAATTGTCAGGGTAGTGGTGTGCCGCATTGAGGTCTTCACGTAGAACATTTACCTCAACAAACGACGCGGACATAAAGGCGTCACTACTAGCTGCGCTATCCTCCCTCAACTCTTCCCTCTCCACACCAGTGACAACCCCTGGCACCGCCTCAGCCCCCAGCGACGGAGGCGGGCCCCGACGCCTCACGCGTCGACAAAAACGGCGCCAGAGACGGGCGGCCTTGCCAGTTATTCCAAAAAACATCCGTCCGTTTTATTCGTAGTGGCTCCTGATATATATGTGTACTCTGTGCACGGCTAGCACAGCCAGTGACAGGAGCAGCAATAAATCAAGGTGAACACGCACCCAGTGCACTTCTTTTAACGTGGTCTCGGCGGTCTTCTCAGAACAGCCGTGAGACACGCACGTGCACCAAGAAAGTGTGTGAAAAAGAGAGCCCAGAAGACTTAGCCTGGTAGGCACACAGCCGCTGCAACCACAGCAACCTCTATATATATATATATATATATATATATATATATATATATATATATATA